TTGATACCAAATTGGTGTGTGCACTTTTGGAATGTTGCAGCTGCATTGCAAAGGCCCATCACGAGACGATTAAATTGATAATGCCCTGATGGAGTACTGAACCCAGTTTTCCTTTTGAATCCGAGCTCATCTGTAATTGCCAATAACTGCTCAATGTGTCCATTGTGGAATAATATTTAGTCTTGCCTAACAAGCTTAATGATTCATATATCAATGGCAAGGGGTAAGAGTCCATTTTTCTCACTTTGTTTAATTGTTTAATTGTCTATAATCTATGACATATCGATAATTTAGATGAGATTTCTTGACCAATAATTCTGGCAATGACAATGGGAAGCTTGATGGTTAAACTATCCCACCTTCTGTCATGTCCTCTATTAATTTGTTCATAATTTTTTGCTATGCATATGGAATGCAATACTGAACCTGATAGAGTAGAGGACTTATCGCCTGTATCTATCTTATGCTAGTTGAAATTGCAATATCCCATTTCAAAATCATTTTTTGCAAACATCTGTTTAAATTTATATAATAAGTTCAGCAAAGGGGTCAACTTGTCTTTTTCCACTTCACTGAAATCGAATAGATTTGCTACCTGAGTTCTAGTCAGCTTTTTCCTTGGTTCACCATGCATTATTTTGTTCACTCATTTTCTTTGTTTCTTTTTCTGCCTTAATTTAAAAAAAGTGCCTATTCTACTTTTGCTATTTATTTTTATTGGTTGAGTGGAAAGATTTATAATCCTAATTGCTATTTTGCTACGGTGTTGCGTTTTAACTAAGTCACCTGCGATAACATATCCTTCTCTATCCAAAGTACAAGGTTCGACCATGCCCACCTGGTCGATGACTTTACCTCTCACTTTTCCTTCCACAATGACTTCTAATCACAGGGGAACTACACAATCATTTAACAATATAACATTTTTCAGAGTGTCATCTTTTTTGTTTTTACTAACTGTTGATCTTTGATTTAAAGTTAATGAACTACTTCTTGGTTTATTTATCTGTGCACTGATTTTTTTGTTCCTTTTATACTTGTTACTTTTATTACACTTATTATCGTTCACGCTAATATTGTCTAATCATGTCGAGTTTTCCTCAAACATAATGCGTTGCTCTCCCTCTTGCTGTCTACTATAATTTTTTTTCAATTCCATGATGATTACTAACATTGTTGTGAAAACTTGCTAACCCCAAGAAGGTTATCTTATCTCCCATCACGAATATTAGCCTCACGTTTTTAATGGATATGGTTATATCATATTTCTCAATTATATTCCTTCCTAAAATCCCGTCATTTGGTTTAGTTATTTTAGGGTTTACTTTGTAACATTTGTGAGAAAACGCTAGAATCGTAAACTGATATATTTCCCATTTGTTTCTAACTAGTGGCCAGTTACACTAATTGAATTTAACACGCTCCTTTTCACTTCTGGCAATTTGCTTAAATCTTGGAAGAAAGATCTAGATAATAGAGAGGTTGAGGCGCACGTTTTAAACGTGTAAACGTCTACGTGTGATGTTCGGCGCCGCTTTCCCGTAAGCCTAAAAGTTTGACGATGGTGTTTGGAATGTCGAGCGTGATTCCACCGACTATCCAAACACCATTGTCAAACTTTTAGGCTTACGGGAAAGCGGCGCCGAACGTCACACGTACACGTTTACACGTTTAAAACGTGCGTCTCAACCTCTCTACTAATGTAACGGCTGCGCCCATATTTATTGTAAGTGCCATTCATTTACTTTGTATTTCACAGACTAAGGTATGCGTGGCAATAATTCGAACGGAGAATTCTTACTCTTTGACATACTGATTCCAGCTAATAGGATCGTATCATGTGCTTCATCACTTAAATGTTTTATGTTGCGCAGATGGTCTCTAATTTTAACTGAAATAATTCTATCACAACGATTCTCTTTCGAATTATCTGGATTCTCTTCCCTTTGATTATCTACTTTCCTTGAGGCTTCCCTTCGGAGTGGGTAAGGCTAAACATTTGCTGTTAGTCATGCTGATTGGTGTTGGCTGAGTCGCAAAACCCCTTTTGGGCCAATTCTAACCATTATGCGCCAAAATATAAGGCAATTGTTCATAATTGAGATTGATTTTTCGTTCAAGATTCCTATACAAAAAAGGTGCATGACTCGTATAAAACAGATATAATGAGGGCAGAAAAAGGGCTATTGGAGTCTGTCCTCTCAACAGATTATGATTATTAATTTCCTGCCATATCTGATTTGGGTGGATGAAATGTAAGGGTTCTTCTGTTTCTACCTGTCCATGGGCAAGGGATTCAGTGTGTGGTATTGCCAAAAGAATGTTTGATTATAATATGTCACGGAAGGTTTTCTGGTCGATTGGTCTTATAAAATTCGCAGGTGATGGTTGATGCTGCATAATTCTGCAGCTCTCAGCTCACATAATTCTGCACTTTTACTTTTACCTTTCTGAAATTTGGTCTTGTTGTGGATTGGGATGTTTGCTTGAATTGTATACCTATTCATGAGGATTATTTACTGGTCTTTTTAAGGATTGATACTCTATTTTTCTTCCCAATGTTTTGAGTTGCTGCGTAATCTGACTGATTTTCGTGTCGAGCGCAGGTTCTTTGTTAAAATTTTTGTTTTCTTCTTTTGGTACATTATTGTTCTGCGTCTCCTCTACACTTGCAATAAAATTTTTATTTTTTTCATCAACTGTTCAATTGTCTCTTCCCTGATCGCTACCTTCAAGGCTTTTGAAAATGTTGCAGTATCCTGCAATATAATGTTTCGCTTAATTTTTTGTTCTGCCCATACAGAAACTTGATGCAAAGCTTTTTGTCCAGCCTCCATTGTGGACATTGTCTTATAATGGCGTGCTTCTGTTCTGTGATTCTCGTTGTGTTGGCAGAAGTTTGCAGCCTAACCGAAAATTTCTGAACCCTTTCCTCACATTTCTGGATGCAAGCATGGAATTTTTGCACCTGGATGAAATATGGCTTGCAGTCAAATCACTCCAGCATTAAGTGTTTAAAGTCATCGTATTCAATCATGCATTTTGTCTGCATATCCCTCTAGTCAAATCTCGACGACACCTGCCAGTTTACATTTCGCGATGATCAGGCACTGTTGGAAATACATCCTGACAGAATAGCTACATTGTCGAATGTATTGAAAAAAGTCGGTGATGCAGCCGCTTTCACCAGAAAAGATCGAAATCATCTCTCCAAACGTTGTGATTGTGCCTTTGCTTACTTCCCGTGTTTGTAATGAGGAACCTGTCTCTGTAGCCATGTTCTCATCCAGTTTTCCTTCTCACTCCAACAATTTTTGTATTGGCTTCCTCAGAATCCTGGCAGACAGCACTACTACCTTTAAGCACCAGTTTGATTTGGGTTTAGCAATTCCATTTTACTGACAGCAACGTAAGGTTGCAGACAAAGGTGACAAACGCGCGAAATGTTCGAGGGACCAAGACAAATTGCATGTGGGTATGTGGGAGTGACAAATTGAATGGAGACAGTGGTCATCTACTACTCCATTTAATAAAATATAAAACTCACAACGATTTATTGCAATAAGAAAAAGTACTAATTAAAAAGCAAAAAGTAAGTCCACAATAACAGTCCGAAAGTTCAAGATCAAGAGGTTTCCTTGGGTTTTTTTTGTCGACATGAAGCTTGATGGCCCCTGGGCATACAGCACGATTCCTGGTGGTTTCCTTTGTCAAGTAGGTGAATTAGAATAAACCTGGGTAACAGATGATGAGGGCTGGCTCCAGTGATGTCTGTACTTTTTCTCGGTCAACTCTTCCAGGAGCACCCACATTGAAGTTAACAGAACTGCAATCCAAAATCCTCACAGCCTTGAACCACGTGCTTATATAAGTTTTACCCTCAAAGTTGTTGTTTAATTGGTCTTTAACCTCACCTGGTGACATTTGACACCTGTTGAGGCGACGCATGAGAGGTGTCCTTCTTGACTTAACACGACTCCTCTCTAACTGCCTTTCATGCTACTTTGGCTTTTTCTACACAATTCATCGTTTGTTTAAAAATCCAAGGAAAACTTTTATTGTTTTAACGATACATTTAATTTTTTCTAATCAGGTTAGAAAAGATTTTTAAAATTTCGTTTAATTACCTCCCTTCAAACTTCTAAGTCAACATTAGTCCAGCTCCTCACACATTCAGTAGAAGATTTAAGACTACCACTGATTTGATGATCTAGTAGATGATACACTTTTGCCCAGTGCTTTTTCGGGGGGGGAAGGTGGTGGAACACTCCTCTCATTACTAAGAATATATTACATGCATTGTACATAAGATTCGGCACACAAGAAGGAGCAGGATCGTCTTAATAATTTTGTTGCTTATCTTCTATGCTCAACAGAGCGATTCAACGCGGACGAAACATCAAATTTTTAAAAATTCTCTTAAAAAGAATTTAAAAACTTTTAAAATATATCGAAAAAAGGTGGTGGAATGCCGTTCCATTGCGTTCTATGACAAAAAAGCACTGTTTTTTGCCTATTATTGCTGTATGGTAAATGTCATCTACCATACAGCAATAATAGGGAAAACTGTTAATGCCCAATGTTAACGATAAAGACACATTTTTGAATGGAAACTCGAGCATTCTACAAGTTTCATTCTATGTTTAATAACAATTTAAAACAGCAACTCTATCTCTATCTTGTTAAATCATATTCTACTTGTCTTCTGTGTTATTTTCCTTTATAAAACCATCACCTTCAGCCACAACGTAAGAGATAACAAGAATGTTCACACTTTAACATTCAATGCTGAATTATGAGAATGTAGCTTAAATTTGCATTTAAGTCATTTTACGCAATTATGAAAATGTACTACCAATTGACCATCCTATATACTTCAATATTACTGATTGGCATTGCTTTTTTTTAAATAGATTTAAATAGTGCTATTGTATATCTTCATATTGAACAAAAATTATATAATTGAGAAAATTAATTGTTATTTTCTGTTTAATTTTCAGGTTGCGTAACAAACGGATCTATAGAGAAAATGTAAATAATGTTCAAAATTTGACATTTAAGTCAACAATATTTAACAATAGCGAAAACCAAGGTTTATATTATAGTGAAGAATATAATGTATATGTTTACCTTGGACTAACATGTGCAATATTCTTTACGATGATACTTTCTGGCTTACTATTGTATAATTTTTTCATTGCTGCATCTTTGAAGCTGCACAAGAATATGTTTCAATGTATTATTCGAACTCCAATTTCATTTTTGGATAAAAACCCTGTTGGTATGTAAAATTTATGGATTAATAAATGTTTTAGTAAATTAATTTTAATTTTATAATAAGTTAAATAATGCTCAATAAAATTTTAAATTGAAATATTTTTGATAAAATACTGAAAGTATTAAATTAAATTTCCATTTTTTGCATTAAAGTCGACCCCCTATAATACGGGTTTTTATAGTTCGGATTCCTATATCACGGCGAAAAAATTGCGACAGTATTCGTACAAACATGCTAAAAAACTCGTATAATTCGGTAAAATGTCATCGCCGACTCGTGTCGCGACAGGATTGGTCGAATCTAGACCAATAGCGGATATTATACAAACCGTTGAGTTTAAACGAGCAGCGGATTTACTGAAAACCATTTATTATTTAACGGCCATAAAAATTATATTTATATAAATGATGTCTTCAGAGTTAAGCGAATTTTTCGCAAAAAATATAATTTATCAGGAAGCACGCGAGCACCATTCGATGAAAAGCTCCACTACGAAAACAAGCTTAAGCAATGGCGTGGTCGAACGGTGCACACTCGGTAAGTAATCCTACAATTTTTTGTTTATAGCATAGTTTATATGAATAATTTCCAGAAAATTATACATATTTTGGAAATGTTGAGTCGAATTAGTCTAGAATCGATTAATTTTATGGAAGAAACGTTTCAAACAGCCGTAGTCCGTAAATTGCATACGTGCCGGGCTGTGATTGGCTGGACTCGTAGAAAAAGGATTCATAAAAACCGGATCGTATCTACCGTGTTATAGGGGGGTCGACTGTATTTAAAATATTTTAGATTTTCGTAAAACATAGTTTTGCTTTTGAAAAAGAATTGCTGTCCACTTAACTAATAGAATGATATATAATAAATTTGTGACATAAGATGCAAAGATGTTTCATGATCACCAAGAATATAGTTTAGCTGTGAACAATATACGCAATATTTATTTCTTTTCTGATGCAGTATAATATACAAAAGCTGAAAGTAATAAGAATATATGTGTTAAAATGCAAAAAAAAAAATTCAGAATAAGTAAGAAAGCGATGTTTAGTATGTCTTATATACAAGCGATGTTGGATATTAAAGTAAAAGAAGTTTAGAAAAAGCATTTTTCAAAACAATTCTATTGAAATCCTCTTAAACATTATTTGGAAGATATATGAGATCTTGTACTGTATTTTGTTTCATAAGCCTATTTACATAATTACAACTTTATTGCTCTATCTAAATACTTTACGAACATAACTATGTACATTGTACAAAATCTTCAGGTATGAAAAACAAAGATAATGTCAAGGTGACAACTGAAATTCATACAGATGTACTATGTACTGTATTATAGGGTCGTGTAAATAATAATTTTAATGAATTACATAAATTCTACATAAGTTTTTCATTCAAATAATCTGTTATTCCGATATTTTTAGGAAATGTTCTAAATCGATTTTCTAAAGATGTGAATAACGTAGATGACAATTTACCTAACAATGTTCATCAATCGTTAAAAGTAAGTTTACATAATTTTGTTTATTTAAATTTGTGTAAAATGAATTTTAAATAATAAACATCTAAGCGGGATATGCAGTTACTCTGGGGTATTTATGGATCACATAGTCTGTATTTTGTTACAGCAACGAGAAATTCAACAAATGAAGCATGCAGTGTATGCACTATTTATCCTAATCACTGACAATTGATGCTTTTATTCCAGCCATTAATAAAATTTTGTATAATTTTTTCAAGAACACTATACTCGAAATTTCTAAGTTTAATCTAACTTCTTGAACTACGTCATTGATATTAACTCTTTTACCGAAACAAATGTAAATTGGAAAATAAGACAGGAATGTTAGTGGACAAGAATCTTTTTATCTTGTCTCTGAAGTTCAACATTGGTCTAGCTATTTTTTGAAATGAAGTTGTTGCACGGTAATTTATCTCTTTTTGTCAACCTTCCTTTTCGTTAGATTTTACGAATTTCGGTTGGATTTTCATTACTATTATGCAAAATTGGAATGAGTATTTTCACATGTAAGCTGTGCTATGTTTCAATCAGATCCTATAAATTGCAGCTGACTCTTCACGTTTACAGTAAACGCATGACAGTGCTAATTTTTAAATATATAGTTTTATTGTGTTTATAGAGCCTATGCATGTTTTAGCCTAATTAGTGCAATATGAGCTATGAACAAGAAAAACAACTTATTAATGAGACATGTTTTGTATATACGTGTGTCTATTTGTAAAAATGGTCACAATCACATATTTTTCACACAGAAATATTTTGATTGACAGCTGAGCCAGTTAGGTATCAAACGAAATCTCTTCATGAATTTGACATCAATTACAGAAACGTCAATAAATCTCAGGTATTTTCAGTATAGGCTGAATAAAAAAAGCTCCTTTATTGACAATAATGTGGAAAGAGTCAAAAAAAGTAGTTTTGCTTATTAGTTCTATAAAATGTAAACTGCTTCATATGACCATAAAATAAAAAAAAACTATATACAGTAAACTCCATGCTAACTCAGATTTTGCTCAACTCAAAAACATTTTTTTCGAAAACAGTAGTTGAAAATTTTTTCATTAAAAACTTATAAATAATGTGCATTGTTGATATATAAAAGTACACAAAACCATTCGCTATATTATTGTTTCAGATAAAACAATAAATAATGTATATTGCTGTATACAGAACATTCAAAGTTTATTAGTTCCTTTCATATATAATGTCGGTTTAATAAACTTTTGTATAGTGCTTATTTTAATACAATAATATTTTTCATAACATTATAGAAAAAATATTTTCAACTGAGATACTATTTAACTCAGACAATGTTTATTCTCTATTAGTTGAGTTTGAAACAGTTAACCGTATAATAAAAGAGCACTGCAAACTACACCTGTGAAATATTCTTGTTACTGCCTAAGAGGAGAGTACCTGTAAATATATAAAGAAGTTTTTTAACGTTAAAACATAGGCGATGACAGTAATATTAATCTGCAGATTAGTAATTATAATTATTATATAACAAAATACCTCATGTATATTTCTTATATCAGTAATAAGCAGCACACTCAAAAAACTATTAAATGATATGTTACAGTGGTACCTCAGGATACGAACGCCCCAGCATACGAAATTTTCAGCACACAACATGAAATTCAAACATATTTTTGCTCCACGATACGAACAAAAACTCATCATACGACGTTACATTAGTTCGCAGCGCCATTTTTTTATTCATTTCTGTTCATCGGTCTTGGTCCGCGTGGAAGGATCTCGATAAAGGAAATCTTCAGGTATTATCAGAAAGTGACTGATTTTATTGAAAAGAAACATCCCGAAAACTTCCACACTGGCCGTATTGCTTCTCAGTTTAATGACATTTGCCTAAGTCATTTTAGAAACATTTTAAAAAGTAGGCAAAGCCAAACCTCTTTGGATAGATATTTTACCAAGTGACCTCTATACAGTGGAAGTGTAGGAAAGACGGCAAAATGCGAGACAATTGAATTTATACTTTAAAGCCTTCTCTTAAAAATTGACGCATTTCTTTTTTTTTTCAGTTTTAAGTATGTTTTATGTTTAATTACATTAACATTAAAAATTGATTGGGAGTAATACGGTTAAAAAATTAAATTACAAAGTCGTAATTTTGCGCGAAATTCGCTCATTCCTTCGCTAAAGCCATAGATAGGCCAGGGCTCACATATAAATAGCTATAATTGTAATAATTTATACTATATTGAAATGACAGATAAGTTTCTATTTATTAGCAATTTATATTTTTATATTTTAGACATTATTTCTGTTTGCTGGAACGTGTGTCCTTCAAGCAATCCTCTGTCCTTATGTATTCATATTGACATTTGTCATTTCAATCTTATTTTACGCTATGTGGATGATTCACAGCCGTGTGCTGAAAAGCATAAAAGTTATTGAAGGAAAATGTAAGTGTATAAAATTCTTAATAGTTTATTGTATTTAAATGAATAGCATAAAATTTTTTCACTACTTACTGCTTAACGTTTTGTGACTATATTCGAATGCACTTAATTTTAACAGTAATATCATTAATTACACAAAACAATTACGCAGAAATTACGTAAGACAATCTATCAAATCATCCAATTCTTACTACACTCTCTACAAATCATATTGGCCTTTAGTTTTTCTTATAACAAACAGATAATATAAGAAACTGAGTAACATATGACGGAAGAGTTTGGCATTCATTACTTTTTACTCACAAACGTATTTGATAAAACTTTTTGGCCTTGAAAATCTGTAAGAAGAGAGTAAAAAATTTCGGTAAAACACATTTAAAGATGCTGAATTCGAGAACAAAACATTTAAACTTGTACAAAGATGTAAAGTATCTACAATTGTAGTAAAGCTCATACTTATTAGAGAACTTTATTTTACTAACCTGAAAATAACAGAATAGTCTTTCTTATTTACAAATGTCTGTCAGAGCTGCGAGTAACCTAAATAGTAAAATAATTGACAAAAGTATAAATTTTAGTCCGTTTACTTATCTGATTCAAATTTTAAAAATGTAACTTAATATAAGTATATAATTACAAATTCTTACATTATTCCAGAGCTGAGGAGATGGAGTTGGAGTTATCAAAAATTCCTCGACTCTGACTCCTTTTTATTCTTGGAACTCGTTATGTATAAAAAGAACGAAAGAGTATTTGAATCGTGTCACGTTTGACCCTTCAAGTTTTTTGCAAATCTATACGTTTGGCCACTTTTCGAACCCAAATAATATCAAATAAAAAAATTTGTTTAATTTTTTTATTCCGTTCTGAAACAAGATTTAAGAAACAAAATTTGGCGCTGTAACGTGTATAAACGGCATTAATGTTATTAAATTTTGGTACTTAATTAAAGTTTGACAAGGTTGAGACATAGAAGGGGTCATGTGTCATATCTCCAGTGTGGTCGGACCTAATGAATATATTATTCGTTATTAGCAGTCACAATCTAAATATCTAAAATTACTTGTCCTGACTGACTGAGTCACTGATTCATCATTTCCCAGAGCAGTTCGCTGAACTTAAAGAGGTGAAACTTGATACACAGTTAGAGTACGTCATGGAAACGCATACTAAGAAAGGATTTTTCGAAATTCCTCCGCCTGGGGAGAGGGAGAGCATTAAAGCTTAACCGGAAGAGTAGCTTCTACTGTACTATTTAAGATGCGATTTCTTGTTTTCAATAACGTTTAGTCTTCATTGACTTAGATGTATTAAATTATTAACATTTCAGACATTGTTATAAATATTTTTATCTATTTCGAATTTTAAAATGTTCGAACCTTTTAAAATTCGAATTTGTTATTGCATATTGGTTCGATTATAGAACGATTGTAAACATCCCAGAAAATTGATCAAATTAAAAACAGTTCGTTCGAATCTTTGGTGTGTGTTCGGTATCAAAGAATTTAGGAATACATCTTTTGTTTTCAATTGCATTTTTTTTTTTTTTTTATAAAGATTACGATGTTCTCTTTGTGTTATATTACATGCAATTTCAATTAGCAGCTTCTGGAACATATGATATTATTCTAAATGAGAATTACTTTTTATTTTGCTTTTTTAAATACAATACGCAAACCGTTGTTATATTTAATAAAGTTTTGCTCAAATAATTACATTTTTTTAACAGCAAGAAGTCCGGTATTTTCTCATCTCAGCGTATCTCTTTATGGACTAACAACAATTAGAGCATTTAACGCTGAAAATAAATTTATTTCCACTTTTAATGAATATCAGGATAAGCACACTGCAACGTGGATCATTTATGTTTTATTAAATCGATGCCTGGCTATATATGGTAACATCGTTTGTTACATAAATTTACTTATTACTGTTATTATTTTCAGTATATCAATTCATCCAGGTGAGTAAATAGATTTATTTAGTTGTTTATAGTGTATAATATATGTAATTTTGAATTTATAATTGCAACTTTAGATGATGCTGGAAGCCAAATCGGACTTGTTATGAGTTATACAATGTTATTTGTTTTTCTTTTTCAAACTAGTATTAGGTTTACTTCTGAAGTGGATTTTCAGGTAACACGTGTACAACTAACTCGTTGTTTTTTATTATTCAAAACGTATAATTTTTAAAACATTAATCGCCTTCCACTACAAATGTCTTTACGTATGTATGTGCCAATATTATCTTTTTTCTATAATTAAAGTTGATTTTGTTAGTGAAACATTAGGCCTATATTTTTTATGAACTACGTGCATGGAAATCTGAAAGGGTATTTATCAGATATTTAAAGTTGGCGATTTGTCTAAAAATAAATTAAAAAAACAGCTTGAATTTTTATCAAGTCATTTAAAATTGTTAAAAACAGATAACTTTCTTATAGGAAGGATTTTCTTATCAGAATATTGTTCACATTTCTCGTCCTACATAATAAACTTTATAAGTATGAATCTGATAAAAAATTTGACATTTTTATCCATATTTTAATGTAATTTATTTTAAAATGTTATTAGACATGTAGTAAATACAGAAGTTAATATCTTTCAGAAAAATGAAATATTTCCGTTTCAACAAAATTGAATTTTCAGTAAATAATTATTTTATAATTCGTCTGAAAATTTCATTAAAACTCATAATATCAGAAATACTAAAATATGTACCATTTAAAGTCATAAGTATAAAAATTATTATTATTACATTCTATTTTACTTAATTAGCGAGAAAATTTCTAGTTAAATATAAGTAACCAAAAACGATGAAAAAATTTTTATTTACGAAAACTTTATACATTTTTAAATTAATTCATACATCTATCAAAAAAAGCAAGTAAATTTAAGAGTTCAAGGACAATAAAAGTGGGTTGATATGAACAAAGAATAACATGAAAAGAAGAGAAAACTAAATACGATATCTCCAATTGTGCATCTTCACATAAAGATACTTCCATTATCAGTCTTATAAAATTTAACACATTAATTTTAACTCTGGATAAAAAGTATTGTTACTTGAATAAGTTTTTTTGTAATGTGTTATTTCATTCGAAGTGAATTTTCCAGATGAATTCTGTAAAACGTATTCTGAAATACAGCAAATTAAAATCAGAAGCATCGTACGAAAGTTCGTCCGATAAACAACCACCCGCGGATTGGCCACAAAAAGGAGAAATTTATTTTGATAACGTTTCTTTACAATACTCCAAGGATAAAAATATTGTTTTGAAAAATTTAACGTTTCGTATTCATTCGGGAGAAAAGGTAAAATATTCTCGAAAACAAATCAGTGTTGCTGAAAATCACTGTCATAAATTATTTCTAATATTTATTAATTGCAGATTGGAATTGTTGGGAGAACGGGAGCTGGAAAAAGTTCTATAATTGCTTCGTTATTTCGCATGACGGAGCCAACAGGAACAATAACCATCGATGGAATTGACACAAAAGATATTGGTCTTCGGGATCTACGCAGTAAAATATCGATCATTCCTCAAGTATATAATAATTATTTTGATGAAAATGCTTTTTATTTAAGAATTTTTTAATATATTTCTCTAAAAATTTTCTTTTTTTGATTTCATATATTAAAATTGAATATTTTTAAGTAAGATTAAACACAAAATGCAATGATATATTTTACAAGTAAAATCCAAGCGGTTAAATTTTTTGCAGGTTAATGGTAGGAACAACTTGACACAACAGTTTAGCAAGAAAATCGCATTGTCGAAAAATAAACGCGTTCGCTGAATGGAATAGAATTGAAATTGATCCATACAATAAAAAAGCGCAGAAAATTTTATAACTAATATAATTACAAAGACATACTGAATTGACATTGATAATTTAACGTATCAATCTAATTACGTGTAATAGCTTGAAATTCAGTGCAATTCATTATGTAATTCAAATTCACTATGTTAAGTGACAGGTGTGACACTAATATATGTTATACACGAAAACAATAAGCCCAATGCAAACTATATGAATACTGCATAGCGTCTTTCTCTTATTGAAAATGCTAAAAATATATTACTTGTATTATTTTCACGTGTATTCAAAAATTTATGAAAAATCGGGTATTGAAGGAACGTCACATGATTCTATGCAATGCCATAAAACTAGCAAAAAATTAATTTGTGATGGATGTCTTTCTTGTGTCATGACAATTATAGCGAAAAATATACTGAAAATTTTAAAACTATAAAATTAATAATTTTTATGCGAATATTTAGTGCATGGGAATTTGTTTCTCGACATGTTCTAAACATCATGAACTTTGAACTGATTAAAGAGCGTGTGTTAACAAATCGTAAGCATGCAGCAGCATGAACAAATAGGAAGTGTTTATCGATCTTTGCAAAACACGGATCGCGCATAACTTACTAAATATTGCAAAAGTACAAAATCATTTTATTTGTCATTTTTCAGAGACCAGAACTCCTGTTGTCCTATTGCTGCAAAATTAACAAACCTTCATTTATTACAAATTAAATAGCAAACTGAATTTAAAATGTATATATATATATATGAGAGGAGGGTATTATGGAATACCATTTACATTTCTAAAAGTAACTTTACTGAATTTTGAATAAAAAATCCCAAAATCATCATGCGTACATACTATAACTAATTGTAGTAAATTGTCACTTGTAAAAAAATACTATTTATTTTGTTGTTATAAAAAAATGTATTTAAAATCACTCACAAATGGAGGGTAATATGGAATAGGTGGTTTAAAAGATTGAAAAACTAATTAGACTTCATAAAACAGTTATTCTAAACTATAAAAACCATATTTTTAGATTATGTGCATGCCATTCCTGCTTCGAATCTATTTACAAAACTCACAGATATAATTTTATTTCTCTGCTCCGGTAGAATCAAGGTGAGTCCACAGAGAACAGCTGAAGTATTGAATTCAAATTTTCCCTCGATCAACTTCAGAGAATTTTCCGTACAGATGATACATTCAGCGTCTTCGTTTGCTGGTTCTATAGTTGATGGCACGAAGTCCATTACAGACCATACATCAGAATGGAACAATTCATCGCTTCAAACACTGGAGTCATCTCTAGTAGGTTTAGGTCTAAAAGGTCGGTCTAAGTTTAATTTCTTAACAGGTGGTCTTTGAATGTTCGGTTTCTTTTGTTGTTTTGAAGCTTTTGGTTTTTTGTTTTTGGTCATTTTCTTTCAGTTTATCAAGTTATCATAGTATTCCAAAATACCCGACACACCATCTTGGAAAATGAACCTTTAAACTTATGGACAAAACATTGTCAGCTAAAAAACGATAAAACGACTACAGTATAACAAACTACAAATCTTTTAGTGCACATTATGCTTAATACCAATGTACAAGTCGTGTGTACTAGTAGGTTAAAACGTTTGAAAACTTGCCTGCAAAAACTCTTGAAAATCACAAAACACATTTTATCTTGTAGCGAGTGGTACGACGACAACAAGCGGCCAACTCTCACTGCACTGCATCCAGGGAGTCTTCCTTGAGTAGTTCGTGGTATTCCCACGTAATAGTAGCAATAAACAGAGCCGAAACCTCAGTATTCCATATTACCCGACTATTCCATAATACCCTCCTCACCTCTCCAAATTAGTTAATTATAAAGTTAACTAATTTGTTTGCAATGGTTTTCAATTTCTGAAATTTCAAACTTACCGAAAATATATTAAGAACATAAGGGAAAAGCGTTAAATACAATACTGATACTTTCCTGAAGGCAGACACATCGGGCATCTTTTAAAATCATTAATAAAAGAAAAGAAATGTAACTTTTACCACTATCGTAATCATAATACAAACAATCTCATAAAAAATTACAAAACGAATAAAATAGCTTGTGTATTTTTCAGGATCCAATGTTGTTTACTGGTCCACTTCNCGTTGTCATTAAATGCTTGAGCCATTTTTATGGCACATTTTAAAATTAATTCTCCATCCAAAAATGGCTTCTTTGCCTTTACTATTTCTAAACGAACTTCAAACGATGCAGCTACAGATGCTTCTTGAAAATTTGGTTCTTGATTAAAATAATTCGTTTGATGATCCAGCTGCTTTTTCATTTTTTCACTAGTGGTATTTTCATGTCTCGCGTGTACGAATGATACTTTTTTCATGCATGGAAAGATAATGGCGCTTGAAGTTATATTCTTTACCCACAGCTATGATTTGTAAACATTCCAAACACTGTGGTTTAACATTCTGGTTCAGAATAAATAAATAATCTCCCAACGATCTTGAAATTCTCGATTTTCGAGGTCTATTTTTCTTTTATTAGTAGCACTCATATTCAATAATTATTTTAGTTAATAAATAAATATGAAATTAAGTTAATAATATTATAACACAGTTACCCCTGAACAAATTCTAGACAAGACTGCACTCGCACGATTGCATGAATCAACCAAATAGCGCAGGGTAGTGTGCGCATCACGTGCGCCAACCATAGATAAACAACAACCAACCACAAGTATAATATGTGGCGTCAACGTTGAGCCAACCATCATCAGACGTTAAACGGATTGCTGCTGTATTCAGCCAGGTTAAGTGAAGTTACGCAAACTAAATAGTACCTACTTTAAATTTAAATTAGATTTAAATTTTCACATACCGTGTTTCCCCGAAAATAAGACATCCGCAGAAAATAAGCACTGGTTTTGCTGAATTGCTGAAATATAAGACCCCCCCTGAAAGTAAGACCCAGCGAAGTTTTTTTTAGTCATAACGGTCATCGACAGATGGTTGAAAGTGGCCGTTGGCTTTTTGAAAGTACAGCCACTGATTGGTCAGCAGACAATTACGCTACATGGCATAAGACTATGGCTTGGGAATCAAAGATTTGCATAACGTTACGGCTGGTGATGGCTAATTGGTCGGCCGGGAATCACGCCACATGACATTTGCATAGTGCTACGGTTCAGTAAACGCTAATTGGTCAGCGAGTCCGATGTTGACGCTATAAAAAGGCGACAGTTCGACACACCGGATATACGTCACTCTCGTCTANGGAAAGTAATAATTAACTTTTCAACTTGTGAAGTTATAATGTGTTATAAATTTCTTACGAAACAAAATATTATATTTTAGGACATTTATATTATATATACAGACATATAGATTCGTAACTTATTATTATCTATTTTATATCAAGAACTGATTCCTGCATACAGAAAATAATTCGAGAAAAATTCAAATCGTGTACCGTGTTGACAATAGCCCACAGGTTACATACAATTATCGATTCGGACAGAGTACTGGTAAGTTTCTTCTGTTTATAATATATAATAAAAATTTGTTTTTCATTACACATTTGAAACTTCTAGGTTCTAGATAATGGAAAACTTCAAGAATTTGACAGGCCATATAAATTACTTAAGAATGTGAATGGTACTTTTTATAACTTGGTAAAAAACTCGGGAGTTACTTCGATGAATGAGCTATTTACAATTGCTGAAAATAAATATTATGTTCAAGAATGTATGGAAAGAACGAGATTATAATACAGTGGATTTTTCTCGATACGTATTAACTTTGTGTGGATTTCGTACTTTTTTTTATATTATCTTGTATTCGGAATTATCTGTTTTAAGTGCAGTTTCTGCATGACATTTAGGATATAGAATTGTTAAAATCTTTAGTAAGAACTGTTAAAACTTAAATAGTATTTGTGATTCCTACTGTTAAATTTATGTGTTAAACGTTAGTTTAATGAAATCAGTATATTTGTTTAGATAATGTTGTTAGAAAAATTAAGAATGGGTTATTTACAGAAAAGTAGTAAATTTTAAAAATATGTAAACAAGAGAAAATGCGTTTATTGGAATATTTTATAACGAGATTTTTTCAGAAATTTCATGAGGAAAAGTTTAATTGAAAACAGCAATCTAATAATGAATGTAAAATTCAGTAATGGTTTGCATCATTGATATAAGCAACAATAAAAATAAATTTGTTGTGAATATATTTTCAATATGTATTATCTTACTTTTGATGTTTAAACTTTCATAAAAGTTTTCAATGAAAATCAAGGAAAAAATTGACTTTTTGATTATTTTTGTGTGAAAGAAGCACAAAATTTTTTATTTGGAGTGAACTTGAAAATGATGTTTTTTAAATGTACGAAAAGTAATTAATACTTGGTGATGAATTACAATCGGTTATTGAGTAATATAGGGTTTTGCATGTACAAGCGATTAATTAAATTATTGTAATATTTACATTGAAAAAAGTTTATAAATAACATGGAATAAAATTAGTTTAGAAAACTCTTTTAAATCTAGATGATATCTAGAATATATTATAAAAAACTAAACCGTTATTTAAGGTGTAACGATGTGGTGGATCTAAGTGTGGTATCTGTTTTAAGGCGGCTATACACGTTAAGTTAATTTTCAAAGGAATAACCATGAATGCCTGACCTTAAGTACTTCCTGGTAGTGTGTGGGGGAAATTTAACAGTTTTGGCTGACTGTACCGACCACCGGAGTAGAATAGAAAAACCATTTGATTTTCCTGGCGCAGTGTCAGACTTCTTGTCTGTCACTGCAATGTCTCGTGAATGTTTGGAAGAATTATTTTCTATAACCTTATTAACCTTTATTATTTATAACCTGAAAAATTAATTTTTCAGGTTATAAATTATTTTCAGATAAAAAATATTTTGAGTAAATTAAAATTATAAATAATTTTAATATTTAGAAAACTTCTCAATTCATTTTTTCAGTTTCATAAAACATCTTTGTACTCTATATCATTTTCCTTTACATTTAAAAAAAATTTATTGTTTTAATATTCAAGTAAATTAAAACATGACAACTTAAAATAAGACAAAGTTTGATAAATTCTTTTTCATTATTAAATTATAAAATTAATTTGCGATTGACAATTATTAATATATATTTGCTATTTTTTCTTCTTCTAATATCCGAATAAATTAAAACACGACAATTTGAAATAATATTTTAACAATAAGACAAAGTAAAATAGGGAAATAGTTTAATATAATAATTATTTAAATTATATTTGATACTTATTTATTAAATTTATGTACAACGCGTTGATTTTAAAATTATCTATTTTTCGTCTATAAAATTTAATCCATAAATTTTTTGGTAGTAAAATCGACTTTCCATCGATCTTTCGCTGATAATTGATTGATGCTTTTTAACAGAATCCATAGCCCAAAATTTCTGTTGAAAAATTAATTTTGTGATCAGTGCTACCCAAATCACTACTACTACTATTTATATCATAGACTTCTATGCATACTTTTTTTCCGTGACATTTAATAGACTTTGTTGCCAATAAACATTCAAGAACAGTCAGTATGTCGTCATCAGATGCCATGGCCGACTGACTGACTGAGAGACAATGGCGTAGCGAACATATCTGGCGCCCGGGGAACGATACTATATTGGCACCCTCTTCTCCTCCAGAAACAAACATTCTTTTCTTGGAAACCATTTGGCTCCCCTCTGCGCAGTGGCGCCCAGGGCAAGCTGCCTTCACTCTACCTACGCCTCTGTTGAGAGCTTTTCTTCTTCGTTTCTGGGCAATAAAAAATTCTGAAGTTCCTCAAGGTCAGGCAGTTTCAAAGGATTAACTTAACGTGTATAGCCGCCTTTGACATGCTGTACTTTAAAATACGTTGAATCACTCTCATTCAGACCTCACAAAAAATAACATTTTAAAAAACAAGGAAGGTTGTAAATTTTATTAACATTTTTAGCAAACTTAATTGTAGAAAGTAAAATCAATTTCCATTATTTATTAAAAAAATCCAGTAATACGTTTTGTATTTGTTCCACAACAAACATTATTATATGTATAATTATTATATAACAGTACTATCTAATTATAAATAATAAATTATGTTGACGAATGTGAAATCTCTTTCTCAAGTCTTGTGAGCCTTTATGGCATTTTAAAAAGACAGTTAATTTTTTCTCTAAATTGGATAAATTAATTTTTTTTCTTCTGAAATTATCAATAAATAAATCGATTTTACGAATTTTCAAATTTTTTTTTAAAAGTGTTTGATTGGAGCAACAGCACCAACCTTAACTTATTACGGTTCTATATTCTGCACACAGAAAACTTTACGTAAGAGGAAATAAAATATTAATGTTAATATAACAATTATTTAATTTAATTAGATTTCTCCTCATAAACTTATTTGTAAGTAAATTTCTTGCGTGATATTCAAATTTAATGCGCATTAATAATTAATTAATATTTAATTAATAAAATGTTTGAAGTGAAATAACGTGAATTCCGGTTGGCAACGAAAGTTACAGTATAGTTAAATGGGCCTTCCTGCCGATAAGGTTTCTACCTATTGTCTCTATATATCACTGCTCTCGAGAATAAGAAAACACAGACAGACAACAGTGAAGATGTATACTCGAACAATTTTTATCAAATTGCAGCCCAATCAATGATCTTAAGCAGGAAATGGCTATATATTTTATATCAGGGGTGTCCAATTTTTTTGTTTCTTTGGGCCACATTGGAAGAAGTCATGGAGTTTTGGGCCAAAAGTATGATATACATACTTGTGGCCAAGTATATTATGGCCCAATCCTTAAATATACAAGTATATTTAAGAACTAACATGTCTAGATTATAGTAATAAGCATTAAAACTTTATTACGAATAAGGATATTTTGAAAAATTACTTCTACAGACACTTTCAATTTTTATTTAGAAATAAATAAATTCATTTATTATAAAGGAGATAAACAAAAATTTATTTGAAAAACACAAATATTTGTTTTATTTGGGTCTTTAATTAATAAAAAGTGACGAAACATCATTTTAAAGTGCATTTTTATTCAACTAATATATTTATAAATAATGTGTAACCCAAAAAGTAGCCAATGCGTCAAATGATATTTTTTACGCCAAACTAATAAAAAGGTAGCCA